TGGAGGGGCAGATGCGTCAATGTCGCCTGGCTTCATTCCTACACTCCTGCAGTAATCCAAAGCGTTTTCAACATCACGAGCTCTGCCTTCTGGCGGTTGGCCCCTCTTCACAGGAAGGCATTCGTCGATCGCCTTGAACTCATCGGCATCCAAACCATCAACATCCTCCGGCTTGCCAGAGCGGATCCAGTTCAGAATGTCATCAACATCCTTCAAACGATCTTCTGGTGATTTTCTGACAGTGAGTTGAATTGTTCTGACACYATCTTTTTCATTTCTTTTTCCCTTTGATTTGTTGTTGTCTTCTTTTTGTCGCATCCATTCGAGTGCTTCCTCTATTTCATGGGCACGATCTTCGAATGACTGCCCTCGYTTTTTTGGTATCATTTTATCTATTTTTTTGAAGTCTCCAGTTGGGTCGTATGTTTTATTTTCTTTTTCTGCATTTTTCAGCCAATTTAAAATTTCAACATAGGTTTTTGACTTTGTTTCRTTATCACCTTCATCGGAATCGATAGTTTTTTGATCAAAAGAATTCAAAAGATAATCAGTACCTCCGAAAGCTTTGTGTTSAATCCAGTCAAGCGCCATTTCAATTTCCTTGGCGCGATCTTCGCGGCTCTGTCCTGACGTTTTTGGAAGGAAAGAGTTGATTTTCTGATAGTCTCCAGTTGGATCCAAAAAATTATTATTCTTCCCCTTGTTACGGAGCCACTCTAGGACATCGTGTTCGTCCTGAACTCTTTGTTCCGGTGTGCGTTTTGAAATTGGGATCACTCCTACCTTTGAGAGCTTCTCAACAATGCCATCGTCTTTCAAAGAAATACCGGTATTACGGATATAGTCTAGAGCGCCTTCGATAGCACGTGCTCTATCATTCAGCGGCTGATTTTTCTTCTTTGGCAAAAGCTTATCTAACTTTCTAAAATCGCCACTTGGATCGTATATTTTGTCTTTCTTTCCTCTGCGAGTAATCCAGTTCATTACTTTCTCAATGTCTTCAATTCTTTGTTCCGGACTTCTGTATATATGACGCACTGCTTTAATTTCGTCGAGTAAAGGCGTCTCTATTTCATCCGAAGAAATTTCAGATCCTTTCACCCAATCAAGAAACTTCTCAATTTGCCGGGAACGATCTTTAACCTTTTGGCCACGTTTCTGAGGTAAGACGTCATCAAGCTTCTGAAAATAACCATTAGGGTCGTAGATTCCGTCGTTCTCTCCTTGGTGACGAATCCAGTTTAAGATATCGTTCAAGTCTTTGTATCTCTGCTCGGGCGTTCGAGGTGAGACTGGAATTGAGCCAATGACACTATACTTGTCAATGACGTCGTCATCGTCCGGCGATGCATTATGCGAACGCAAGAAGTCTAAAGTACTTTCAATCGCACGCCCTCTTTCCTCCGAAGTCTGACCACGCTTCTTGGGCAATAGTTTGTCTAACTTATAAAAATCTCTTGATGGATCATTCTTTCCAGGCTTTRCTTTTCCATTCCTTATCCAGATAATGGCATTCTCGAGGTCCTCGAGCCTTTTCTCAGGGCTGCTTTTAGAAATTCCAAGCGAAGATAATTCCTGAAAGCCTGTTAGCTCATCGTTGGCGTCATCCTTTACCATTCCTTGCCCTCTAATCCAATCCAAGCCTTCCTCGATGACCTTCGCTCGATCCTCGAAAGACTGATCGCGTTTCCTTGGTAGAATACTGTCAAGCTTGAAGAAATCTCCAGTGGGGTCCAAATAATTATCTGAATTCTTCTCACGAAGCCAATTCGTAGCGTCAGACAAATCTTTGGAACGCTGTTCAGGTGAACGATAAAATACGGAGAAGGGGGCAGGTGGTGTCGACAACTCTTCACTATCTCTTCGATCATAGAGAGTGGATCCTCCATGGCCAATTCGAATCGATGTGTTGGCAATATCCAGTGATCTTTCTTCAAGAGATTGATCTTTCTTGATGGAAAGAGATGCTTGGAGCTCTTGAATCATACCGAATGGATCCAAGGAGCTCTCCTCGGAACCATCACGAAGCAAATTCAAAATTCCTCTTACATCTGTAGACAAAGGTGATTCAATGGAACGATGGATTTTCGATGAAGCCGTAGATTCAACTTCATTCAAGTAGGGAACTGATTCATTATCAGGATTGCCGATTGTAACACCATTCGTCCTCAACCAATTCATGGCGTTTTCAATCTCTTGTGCACGAGAAAGTTCAGATTCACCAGCTTGGAACCGAGGTAAAAATGATTCAATTTTGCAGAAAAGATCTGAGGTGTCAGAATCTTTCATTTGCCCTTTCCGTAACCAGTTGAGAGCTTTTTCTACATCTTTCTCTCTATCGACAGGAGAGTTGTCAACATTAGAATCAGCTTTGGCTATCTCAAATGACGGAATGCCTTCATTATCATAGTCAAAGCGAACGCCATTCCCACGCAGCCAAGCGACAGCATTCACCAAGTCTGTCGCTCTATCTTTGTCACTCTGCCCTTCCCGTTTCCGGAACAATTTGTCTAGCTTCGAGAAAGCATTATCTGCTTGCTTTTTATCTTTGGATTTGCGAATCCAGCGAAGAGCATTTTTCAAGTCACGTTCTTTTTCGTACATAGATCTCAAGCCCAACGGAACAACACCAAGTTTGTCAAATGATTCGATTTTTGTAGTATCGTCGTCAAGATCAACACCCTTCGAGCGGAGCCAGTGTAGCGCATCTTCCATTTCTGTCGCTTTTGCTTCCATAGATTTTCCTTCGATGTTCGGAATAAGCTTAGCAAGTTTACGAAACTTTTTGCTGTCATCGTCAACGTCATCGTCATCGACACTCCCTCCTGACTTTGACAACCAATCCAACGCATCTTGCCTTTCACGAACTCGCTCTGCGTCAGACTTAACCGCAATATTACCAAGCTCAAATTCGTCAGTTCCAAATTCAGATTTATCATCATCTGATATACCTTCATTATTACGGAGCCACCCGAGTGCCTTCGCCATATTATCTGCCTGATTTTCTTCTTTTGTCTTTCGAAAATCTCCAAATTTTTTTGAAAGKGGTTCGTCAACATTGTGGGGATCTTTCTTTTGGAGCAAATCAATTAAGCTCGTCGAACCGTCCTTGAAATTCCCGCCAGAGGTCCGGTCAGCATCAATCGAACTAAACGAATTTACATGATCAGTCAAGTCAGGTGAGTCTTCTTCAAAATCCACACCATTAGAGCGCAAAGACTTGATGGCATTGTTCATTTTATCTAATTTTTCCTGGTCCTCTTTCCTAGGTTGAAGAAAGCCAGAAGCATTTTTCTCATGGTCGACGTTCTGAGGCGACTCAGCGTGTCCCTGACGTAACCAATTCAGAGCTTGATCTATTGTTTTGTCATGGGCTCCATCCGCGGTTAATGAAGCCAGCGAGTCTATTCCGACGGATGTTGATTCATTTTTGTCATCATGATCTTTCGTGGTACCTTGGTGCAACCAGTCCAAAGCATTCGCCATTTTTTCAGATTTTTTCTGTTCTTTGCTCTTCGTCTTGATACCAGAAAATGAAATCCCGTCACCCTCTTCCTCAACTCGAGAGGCACCCTTTTTTTCTTGACTACGAAGCCAATCCAAAGCACTTGGGAGCGCCTCCCCAGCAGATGCAGTGGATCTTGCATCAATATTCTTAAACGAACCAAGAGAACCAATACCCAACGAGATGTCATCTTCAATGTCATCTGCAACGTTATTAGAACGCAACCAGTCGAGTTGATTGGCCATTTCAGCTGCCCTTTTCTCTTCGTCCGTCCTTGGCTTCCCTGCTAAGGCGTCAGGCTTTTTGTAACTAGGCACACTTTCATTATCAGAGATAACTTCCTTCACAGACTGTCGCTTTTTCAGCCATTCTAGTGCTCCTCCGAAGCCTGATTCTTCGATAGAATCTTTCACTCCAGACTTAGCCATTACGTCATCGATGAGTTTAAAGCTTTTAACCGTTTCTTCGTCTACATCAGTCTTCGAACGCAACCAATCAAGAGCATTTTTCATAGAAGTGATTCCGACAGAATCGTCGCTCTTAGGCATCAGAGAGTCAATTTTCTTGAAAGTTGCTACCGACAACGCAACAGACACGTTGTCGTCTATATCGAGATCCGCATCGTTGGATCGAAGCCAATCCAGTGCATTGGCCATTTCATTGGCTCTTCTCTGCTCATCTGATATGACTCCAACGAACTTGGGTGCTCCAGTGGATTTCTCCTCGGCTGTCTCGTAAACATTTAGGGTCCCCTTAATTTCGTCAACCCGCTGCTTCCGGAACCAATCAAGATTGGTATCTGTGCCGGGAATGTTGTCAGGGTGTGCAATGTCATGCCATCGTTGAGCAAGAGTCTCGAGTCTCATCATCTTTTCCTCTTCAGCAGAGCTTGCATCTTCGTCCAACTCGTAGTTATTACGCTTCCACCAGTCCAGTGCCTCTTCTATTTCTCGTGCAACAACCTTCGCATTGCGGCTTTTCTTTCCTCCCCATACACTAAAAATATCACGGATGTGTTCGACTTTTTTATTCCTGACAGCATCTAAGTCGAAATTCTTATTTTTCTTCCTCATCCAGCGAAAGAGATCAGAAATTTCTTTCACAGCTTGATCTTTGTGCTTCGGTGGCATGGTGACCTTCTGCCAAATGTGCGCTAACCTTTTGACTTTTTCGAACTCTTTTGCATCTTTGATATCTTTATCTACGTTCATATGTTTTCCTTCGCGATCCCACCACTCAATGTTTTGTTGCAAATCTTTAGCGGCTTTTTTGGCTTCTTTCAGGCTGAGATTTTGAGGCTGCTTTCTCGACATACCTTGGTCACGATACCAGTGTGATAGTATATCAGTGACCATTTTATGGCGCATCATTAAAGGAGCCATACTTAGACTGCTTTGAGTGATCACGTAGTCCTTGCCGTAGTTCTTCCACCAGTTCATGGCACTGATGATTTCTTTGACGGTGTGTTCAGCTTCAACTTCTGACATTTTGCTCACATTCATTCGTCGCCATTCAAGCATCGACTTTCGGAGTTTCAGAAGGATTTCACGATCCGGAGAATGAATGCTAAATGATTCATCATCAAAAATCTTCCCATGCCCTCGCCATGATTCAATTGCATTTTTTATCTTTTTTGCCGTTTCTTTAGTTCTTTTTGACGTCACGGTACTTTCAGGATCACGTGGATCCCACTGATCCATCAGGATTTTCACCTTTTCGGCCAAATATACATCTTCAGGGCTAGTAAATTCAGGAAAATCATTCTCCTTGAATTTGGCACGCAACCATTCAAGAGCACCTTCTATCTCTTCAGCGATATTTTCCATTTCCCCAGGTGAATACATCTTGGTAGATTCGGCTGCAATCGCTCGCCAGTCGAGGATGGCCCGTTCAAGCTTTTTCAACTTGTCACGTTTGTCACCTTCGAATTTGTCGAAAATTTCAGGTTTGTAGTTGTTACGACGAAAATAGATGAGAGAATCTGCAATCTGCTTGAGTTGCTGAGGAGATGGATCAACTTTGATTCCCCACAAGGTCAGGAGTCCTTGAGCTTTTTTAAACTTTTCGTAATCACTACTGGAAATTTCATCCAAATTYTCTATTTGATTTCCATCGGACAAATACCAAGAAACAATATTATTGATTTCATGCGCCAAACCTATGATTTCATCCGCCTCAAGGGAACGACGATGTAATTGCAAGAGTGCATGCTTGACCTTCTTCATTTTCTCCACTGTAGAGGGCTCAAGTTCATCGAATGGTGTGTCCTTATGTTTGGMCCAAAGTTTCAATGCTGCCTTCATTTCCTTATTCCGCGAATCAAAATCATCTTTCTCTCGAAGTCCAAATATGGCTAGCAACTCTTTAGTGCTTCGAAACATCGCGTCGTCTTCATCATTAGCCGTAAAAGGATCGAAAGAGTTTGAGTTGAGTCGCCACCACCGTAAGGCTTCTTCCATAACCGATGCAGAGTTGTCTTGGGAAAATTTCCAGTCCACAAGCAGGTCCTTTACATGGTTAACGGCTGAACAATTGAAATGGGGATCATTCGGATCGAAATAGCCGTTCAAGACTAAATCCAAACACGCTTGTATATCTCTAGCACGACGATCTGCTTCTTCATGGTCATCGCGAGCATCGAATTTCTCCCAGCTTTGTTTCGGCAAGTCTTTCAATTCCCATTGACCAAAAAGAGCATTGATCTTCTGGAAGGTGGACTGGTTATACTCAAATTCCTTCAGGTCCTCTGTGTAGACAGTATTTTGAGTTTTCCACCAATCAACAGCCTCTCTAAGCTTTCTCGCTTTTTTCTCTGCTTTAAGCTCGGTAGGGAAAACTTGACCCAAAGCATTTCGAACATTGATGGCCTTCATCTTTGTCTGGTCAAACGACTCATCCGTAATGGGAATGTAGTCCTTGTTAGCCCCCCACCAATCAGTAACGCATTTCATCTCTTCCAGTGGTTCCATCAGAACTTCAAACGAAGTCTTGGAAGTATCTTCTTCAAATGCATCCTTCCACAAAGCAACAGCATCACCCATTTTTTGGGCTCGTTGCTGCGCATTCCAAGTAGATGATTGAAGCATGGTTCTATTGAAATTCTTGGTCTTTGATTCCTCTTGTCGCTTTCTCTCTTCGGCACTTTCATCTTGCTTCTGTTTGAGCATTGACATCAAGTCGGGTGCCTTACTGCCCTTCTTGAAGTCGGTCAAGTTGCTTACCATGCTGACATCGTCTCCAATCCCAACAGAAGAGGGTTGATCTTCCTTATCCCACCAGTTGGCAGTGCCCATCTCGGCACTCGTTTCCGCTGCAGCTGTGGCTGATGCCTCTGCAGTTTTCATCCAAGCCATCGCATCTGCCATCTCGTCAGCTCTACGCTCAGCTTCGCTGGCGTTGTTTAGAGCCTTCACGCCGGCCTTCGTGTACTTGACACTCCCGATCGAGTTTCTTGTCGTGTCATCGTCATCGTCCATACCGAGGTACTCGTTGACGGTTCGTCCTAGCGCAGTGAAGAAGGTTTCGGGTTCTTCTTCTCCGCTTCCAGATGMTCTGCTTCCTTCTGCTTGGGGGGGGATGTCAGAAAGCTTGGGTGGACGTCTAGGTCTCGACTGAGAACCAGAACGTCCAGCGCTCGATCCGCGGCCTCGTCCGGTAGACAGGGAACGACCACTACCTTTTCCCTTCCCACGACCAGATCCTCTTCCACGATCAACTCCTCCATCTCGATTTAGAGGAGGGGAAATAGGTTCGGTATCCTTTTCATCTTCCTCAGGTCCTAAAGTCCACCACATCTTGACGTTTTCAATACTTGAATTGTTGTTGCAATTGTGCTTATTCCAAAGTTTGAAGAGGACTGAGACTCTCTTCTCTTTTGCTTATGTTATTCTCGTCTTTTGACCTCGATTAGGTTTGACTTAACTTGGTCGAAGACTTTATTTGTTATCTGGTATCTACTACAGTAGACTATGCTTGTTGYGTTATGTGTTTAGCCCGTAACTGCACCTGCACCTCGATCTGTTACGAAGTCTTTTTCAGAGAAGCTCTATTCACGTTCCTCAACGATGCTTTTACGTGAAAAAAGATTTTGGTGGTGTGGACTTGGGCCGTTCCTACCGGGTACAAATATCTCCCCACAGTACGGTAGTAATCGTACGGTATTCGCTAATCTGTTCTGCCGGTTCCCTAAGGTATTGTACTGTACGTAATACGGTACGAACGTTACTAATGGTCTTTTTCGACAGGCCACCTCAATACCGGTARTAGAAATTTACTGTAGTCACAAGACGGTCATACTAATGCAGCTTTTTATTTTGATCGTGAACATTGTTTGTGTTCTTCAGATTCTCAGTTGTTCTTGATGTTTCTCAAGGTACGGGTACACATAGGTTCGTACATATGCCAGCACCGAAATGCCGGACGATAAAGGTCATTCTATCTACCGGTAACTGACTGGTACTGTGGTTCACAGTGCCTTGAGGTTGACTGTAATATCACATAAGTACAGTATGTAATAGTACCCGTACTTTCGATCTTCTAGCGTACGTACGTACGGGATCGTATTGTTCGTGGGCGATGGTGTCATACTCGCCAACAAAGAGAGAATGTCTCTAATTCGTGAAGAAAATTGAATGACTGTAATAAATGTGTTTTGAATAATGGTCATAATAAAATTATGACCCGGATCGCATGAAATAATCGTAGTTTACCGTTGGTCGCTTAGCCTTTCACGTGGTCCCCAACCACAAAAATCGTTCATTCCTAAATTTGAACATGTTTCTTGGTGTAAGCTAGTGGACATCTACGAAGTACTTCTACCACCGTACCGGTACGATAGGAAAGTGGAAAAGAACCCATTTTCTTTGCAACCACGTACGATACATTAAAGCAGGGACGATACTGTAATCTAGGGGTGTGCGACGCATCGAAAACTCATCTTCCACGTGCAGTCCGAGTTTCAAAGAAGACACCACAAAATACTAGTAAAACTACTGTCCAATCTTTAAACAGTTACAACGTTATCAAAAAATACAACTAGTATTTTAATTTTTGAGTAGTCAGTCTAGCCAGTTTTTAATGCTGAGCTGGATATCAAATTGAAGTTTGTGGTGCTATTTTATTATTGAGAAATGAACATAATTTCCATGACATTAGTAGTACTACTAATACTAGTAGTAGTAGTAGTAGTACTAGTACTAGTACATGGCTGGTGATGGTGTAAACATTTTTGGAGGAGGGAAGCACTAGTAGTGGTAGTGCAAGTAGTAGTTCTACTAGTAAAAAAACTTAATATTGCATTTAACCTTGTGAACTAGAAGAGGCACTATGTGGCTAGAACCATACCGTCTGGGGTGAAGTATGCTCCTACTACTAGTTGCACTGATGGGCGGCGCTTCCCAACGGGGAATTGTGATGGAAGCACAACTGGGGAGGTGTTTTGGCTGTGGAATTATTTGTAAAACTGATTCAAAGTAGTTTGGATGGTCTGGTGTGTAACAGAGGCCAGGGGAGCCCCTGGCAATGCTGGCGGTTTGTGTTGTTTCTTCTTGGAGTATGCATCGTCAAAGACCAGCCCATCTTGTGTTACACTCTCTGGTGAATGTTTACTACTATGATGCAGATGCAAAAAGTAGTGTGTAATAGGTCGCATGTTGGAAGCAGAGGTGAGAGATGCCTTGCAGATGCTCTTGTAAATAGTTTTCTCATAGATTTGGCAGTAGTACATGAGCAAGGAAGTAGGTGCATTAGATATGAAGGCCTCCATATCAGCTGGAAGTAAGTTGGCATGAGATGGACAAGTCTGTGGTTTCAGAGCAAATAGATGACAGACCTTTGTTCATCAACTAGATGTTGGCATTCCTTTTTGAACACCTCCCGGTGTCTATAAGGAACTGGGTATGGTTTGACATACTTGGGTGTGGCATCATCCAAGAGATCAATGTGGATCTTCTCATGAGGATATCTGCCAAGCTTCCCATCAAACACTTCCTTGTGTTTGGCTAACATCTCCTTGAATGCTAGTCTCTCTGATTTGGTCATATGCTCCTGATGGTTTGCAACCTCTTCCRGAGTAACTCCCTGGTATTTTGCATCCAGTATTTTATTGAGCTCTGTACCACCAGTAGCTCTGGCAGTGCCAGTTGGGCCTGCTAAATAACTGTCYGAGCTGGCTGCGCGTCTGCAGCCTTGTTGTTGGCAGCTTGGGGGGAGTAGATGAAACTCTAGGAATCCACCATCTAAGAGTTCATCGTCCTCTGCCAGCCACATGGCTTCTGCCACTTGCTGGGGATCATTAAAATGATGTGATGGTTTCATCTCTATGGATGAATCCAGCCATTGAATGGTGTGTTTGGAAAAGAAGAGATCTATCCCAGTCATTTGGAGAAAGTCTCTACCAAGAATCATATCATAATTTCAGGGCGCTGAAAAGATTCTTGCATTGATTCCCTTGATGAACTTCCTATTGCCAAATTCAGGTAATTGTATATGGGATATGAAAACATATCTGGTTGTATCAAAGCTTCCTTGGGCTGTTGTGGTGACTGAGCTAATCCTATCCATGAAGGGGACTRTTCCTGATGGATGACAACGCTTGTGAATCAGGCACATAGTGCTTCCACTATCCAAAAGGACTTTGAATGTATTCATTACTGGTATATCTTGGATTGTTTTGCAAACAAGTATGACCCCTGGAAGCAGATCTGGATTCATGCACGAGATTACGTGTACTCTTAGTATGTTTTAAGTGTGTATGAAAATTGAATTATAAGATTAGATTTATTCGTAGAATACCCAGCGCGTTCACRAGAATTCCGAAGTTCCGATTAGATCCTCATGTAGACCTGGTAGGGAATCTACATGGAGTTTCTTCCATTCCGGACTCGTGACATCTCTGTTCTTTGTGAGGTATTCTCGAATAGTATCTTAGACCTCTCRCAATCCTCAATATGATGGATCGTATGATMTATATGTATAAATATTACATTATGATATGTAGGTAGGAATGGTATGTCCATCCATTCCGAGGGAGCACTGTACGTACGTATGCTTCCTTTACAGTACGTACGTATACTTCCAATACAGTACCTACGTATCTGTTGCAATTCAGAGCTCTCAAAGTGTCCGATGTTGGATTCTTAAGGGCATCTTCATTATCAAGGCCAAACAATTCAAGACTCTCTTCTGGTRAATGAGTGGATGGTGCTGGAAGCAATGCAAAGAGCACCTCTTCCTTCACGGTGTTTTGTGGCTGTCACCATTGTTGATTTAGTCTGTGAAACCTAACTGGTGAACTTGCATTGCTGTTGGATTGTACAGAGACATGGCTCTGAGGACTTCCACTTGAACTAGAACCATTTTGTGCTTGTGCCAGTTGATAAGTTTGGAATGGAGGCTGTTGTTGCAATGGAGTTAGCTATCCCTTGTCATTGAGGAKATAGGTGCCTGGTGCATATGTCTTATTGCCTGAATTTGAGCTTTGGTTGCTATTGTTGTCATTCCTCTGATTGTTTCCTTGGTAATTGTTACCTTTCCTGTTGAATGGGCATTCTCCCCAAGTGTGCTCTCCATTGTGCCTCCTGCAAGGCCTCGCATTGATCCTCTTCTGTCTTTCTGTATGATCCTCAATGCYGGTGCTATTCCTGTTGSTGTTGGTGTTGGTGTTGGTGTTGCCTCTTCTTTGCTTCTTTCCATTCCTTCTCTGCTCACTTGAATCATTTGTTGCTCTCTTTCTCAGTTGATTCCTTTCATTCCTGTCTGCGAGTCCCTTTTGGTCAGTCATGAACTTAACTATCTGCTGAGGGGAATCCTCAAGAATATCTTTCCTGCAACTAATGCATTTGTCCTGCCRAGCATTGGGGAAGAACTTGAAAAGGATCTCCTTGATCTCCCTGTCTGACAAGGGCTCCCRAATGCCATGTAGGAGGTTGGCTCTGGCATGCACAAAATAMGTGTACTCTTAGTAAGTGAGTGTTTTAAGTGTGTATGAAATTGAATTATAACATTAAGATTATCACGAAGATTACCAAGCGCGTTCACGAGAATTCCAAAGTTCTGATTAGATCCTTGTGTAGATCTGGTACTGAATGTAMATGAGGATTCTCCTATTCCGGACTCGTGACATCTTTGTTCTTTGTAAGGTGYTCTCAAATCGTACCTCATATTCTTAGASCTCTCAGTACGATGGATTGTATGATATATATGTATGAATAGTGCTCTATGATATATAGGTAGGAATGGTATGTCCAYCCATTCCGAGGGAGCATCGTATGTACGTATGCTTCCAATACAGTATCCACGTATACTTCCRACATTGTCCCCAACAGTAATATTGCATCCAATATTACTTACTACTAAACTGTAGCAATCATATCTTCAATATTTTCAACAGGGGGTTCTTCCTCTACTGTTGCTGGATCTTTGGGATTGGCATTGACRGTTCCTTTATAGGGAACAAGCTTCTGAATGTTAACAGTCTCACGTACATTGTCACTTCCTCTTTGCAAGATGACTGTGCCGTTGGTATTAATTTCCGCTATAGGATAGGGACCATGCAATCTTTGGAACAGCTTGTCTGGTTCATAGTATTTCATGTAGGCTTGTTGTCCCACCTGATACCGGAAGGGTATTCTCCTGGCATTCTCTCTTCTAAGATTTTCATCTATCAGGTGTTGTTGTTTGTCCCTAATGATGTTCAAGTCTGCAATGAGTGGAATGTCCAGTACCATGTCGTGATTGTAGACCAGAGCTCCAGGTGAAGTCTTCACTGCAGCATTCACTGCACATCTGGTAGCATGCATYGCAGAGGCAAGCTTTGTCAATCAGTTGGTCTTCATCAAATTCAGCTTCTTCWAGTGGTTTTGTGTGAAGGGTAGCTTGTAGAACATTGGCAATAGTCTGATGGACTCTCTC